CTTTTGCTGCTACTGTAATCTTTTTTAGCATCCACAATTGCGTTGAAGTCCCCTATTAAACATATATTTTCATAGTCTATTTCTATTATCTTTTTGTAAAATCTTTTGTAAAACTCTTCCTGCTTGTTATTTGGGACATATATTGCAATGAGAAGGATTTGTTTCTGATTTATTAATATCTCTGCCATTAGTATTCTTCCTTCTTCATCTAAGTAAATTTGTTTAGATTTTAGTGATTCTCTAATGTATAATGCTATTCTTCTCTTCTTTTGATATATCAGTGATGAGTACAGCTTCCTAATTTTGCGGTGTTCTAATAGGTTGCCATGTTTTTTTTTAATGTGTACTTCTTGAAGGCATATTATATCCAATTTTAATCTTTGTAGTTTTGTAAATATTTGTTTTCTTTTTGCGGGGGAGTTCGATCCATTTATATTAACAGATAGCATCTTAACTTCCTCATCCATCTTTTCACTTATATATAGGTCTTGCTCTTCTGGTTGTCTTCTCTCTCTCTGTCCTTTCGTTCTTACAACTTCTTGTTCTGTATGCTCCTTTTCTGCCCTCACTCTTTCTTCTAGTTCTAAAGCTTTTTCCTCTGTTTGCAATTCATCTTGATTTTTACTTTCTATCTCTTCTCTACTTTCCCAGTCTACATTTGTCGTAAAATGGTGTTCAAAAAATTTGTATGCTTAGTCTAGGGTGTCCACCCTAATTTTTTTCTCCTGGCAGGAGATCACAATTCCTTCTGGTATCAACCATCTGAATGTCACATTGTATTTTATCAATTGTGTGGTCAAAAATTGACACTGTCTCCTCTGCTCTCTGACTGGATTTCTCTCCCTTTGTATTTCATGAATTCATCTCTTGTTTTTTTGTATACTTCATCCCTCACTGTCTTTTTGGTGAATCTTACGTGCACCTCTTTTGGTAATTTGTGCCTTCTTGCATAGTTTATGTGAATTCTGAAGACTTCGGCTATGTCTCTTTGTACATCATGCTTATTTTTCTGTAAATCTTCTGCCAGCAGATCCGTCATCACCCTACCTAGGTCTTCATCTTTCTCTTCAACAATGTTCTGGAATCTCAGATAAAAAGCAGCCTTTTCCATTTCCAGAAAAATTGTTGTCTCTTCTAAATCTCTATTAGCCGAGAATAGTTTTTGATTCATTTCCAGCCCTTACTTCTATTTTCTGTATCCTCTGCTCATTCTTCATTATCATTTGCTGGATGTTCCCTATCTGTTAACCCATCTTATGTATATCCCCTTTCATCTCCTCCATATCACATCATGATTTTTGGACATGGCTTCCTGAGGTTTAGGCTTCTTGTATCGATAGTAACATTGCTTGTATGTTCTGCATAGAGCTTGACTTCTCCAGGTCTAGCATGGTTTCTATTGATCATTGATTGGAAGAAGATGAGGGTGCAATGAAGTTTTCTTTCCTATCTTTGATTCGTTTTATGTGCTTGTCATCTCTAATGATTAAAAAGCATTACTCAAAAATTGCAAACACATTAAATATTTTTACACTGCTAGAAATTTTTCCCCACACCCCCTGGTGTATCTTGTTCAACACTCTATTATTATAACAGTAAAGATCAGCCCACTACTCAATAGAGTATATAGACTATATCCAGGGGTGGGATTCTGCCAGTTCACACCTATTCGCTAGAACCGGTTGTTAACATTCTAAGCAATTCAGATATCCAGTTGTTAGAAGAAATTACTGGCCTAATCCTGTAAGGAAGGCAAAAAGGAAACATTCTGGTTTTGCTTACAGAAACTGCCTCTTTGTTAACCCTTATTACATTCTTGGCAGGACTAGACTTCCTGTCTCAGGAACTTATCTGAAGTTATTTTTCCCTCCTTTGCTGGTACTTTGCTTCTGTGGAGTGACCATTCAAAGTTACAATGGCACTGAAAAAAGTGACTTATGACCATTTTTCACACTTACGACTGTTGCAGCATCCCCACAGTCATGAAAGGCCAGGCAAGGAGATGCATGCCTCGATGTAAGTGATATTGAGTTGGCCACGCCCAGCCAATAACATGACCACCAAGCCATGTCCACCCAGTCACATGACCACCATGCCCACCAACTAAGCCACGGCCACAGAACTGGTTGTTAAAAAATTTGAATCCCACCCCTGACTATATTGGCTATTTATATATATCTTTTAGTCTAAACAATTAATAATTGAAAATTAATAATAATTAGTGAAAGTTAATACTTCTATCAGTTCTATTGATTTTTCATAAATCTTAAGTGTAGGCATTTCTTCCAACTCTCCTTTCTTCACCACTCAAGTTTGTAATCAATACAAAATTTGTCCCCACTGTTGTTGATATCATTCTTTCGATAGTCTTTTTGCAGGTTAAGATTTATAATCCACAAAGGCCCCAAAACCTATCAGATCTCTAAAAAATTTCCAAAACAACACTGGAGTGATTATACAATTTCCAAGTTCACTGAAAGTATTTCTCTTCCTTTTTACTCTTCTATATTCACACTTCAGTTATGTCCTCTAAATGTCTCAGAAGTCCTTTTGTAATGTCTATAGATATTGCATCAGTTACTTCACTTTATATGCATTCTTGTCAGTAGATGGCACTCTTACTCTTTTTAATACTGAAACCGCTTCTCCCGAAAATGAAAAAGTCAAAGAAAAGAATAAAGACAAGATAAAGTCCTTTCAAAGTGATTAGTCTAGGCTTTTCTCCAGATTGGTCTCCATTTCTTTATAGTTATTCTGTACTTCTATTCTGGATCTGTTATTGGCTCCAACCACTTAGTCACTGTGACTCTCCTGGAGCAGAAATCCTACCCCAATCTTTTTTGAGTCACACTTTTCTATTACTATGCCAGGGTAAATCCATTGCAGAGAGTTAGAATTGAAAAGTTCTCACCTAGCACCTCCACATTGCTTCTTGATTCTTGCCTCTTATCTATCTGTCACAGCTTTGGATCAGCCATACTGACTGTCTTCTTTCACTTTGGCACCAAGGGCTTTCCCTTCACTCTAGCAGGAGATTGCCTTTCTCCACACTGCCTTCAGGGCTTCCCCTCTGCCTTTGCTAACCTCTCCAGGATTCACAATCCCCATTAAGGGTCACCGGACTTGAGAATTTGGATGTGAAACGGAGCCCTGTTTTTCTGTTCCGCTTCTCTGTGATGTCACTAGCAGAAGTCCTGTGCCACTTTCTCAAATGCATTTTTGCGCACACATGTGCTCACCCACCATTTCCACAGCCCAGTTCCTGATACAAAATGACTAAAATGAGAACAAAATTCATTTGGAAAAGAAAATTAAATATCATGTATTCACAGATAAGCAAATTGATTGCTATCACTTGCAAAGATAATAGAAAATCATATTGAACATCACTAAAAACTAAAACCAGAAATTTTGAATTGCCAAAAGGCTGGATCCAGACATTGCACATAGACTGTGCCCATTGAAATTGGTGAGAATTAAGGTTTAATCTTCAATAAATCAATTTTCATTAGTTTAATCATGTTAAAACAGTTTGAAGCAATAATGTGAATAGAAGTACTGTAAAGAATGCTTTGGAATAGCTGTCAGTTTTGTACCAGGTGAGAAGGCAAGAGACAATGTGTTTGAATCCTGCCTTAGCCATTAAATTTAGCTGGGTGTCTTCATCCATCCATTCTCTCTCACAGTGGCTGTTGTGGGGAAACTAAAGGGAGAATGATGTATTGGATATGTTTGCTGTGTTATTTGTAAAAATAATCAAGGTGAGATATAAACAAAAAATAACAAAATTTATATTTAATCTGATCCTAAAAAGTTTGTTTGTGTCTTTTCCTTACTTATTTTTGAACTTATGGACAAGCCACCAAGTTTATTGATTTAAACCTTCAGCATCATGTTAAAAGTACAAATTTAAAATGGCACTTTATTCAATCTGATTGAAAATAAATTCCAAATAGTTTACTTGTTTAGGTCCCAAACCATTTTAATTCTTGCATCAATAACAGTTATAGTTGTTTGAAATAACTAGTTTAATCTGTTTTGTTGTACTTTATTTTTTCATATAAAGATATATGTCAACTCATAAAATATTTCTATGGTCTTTTTAGAGTTGCTAACAGAAAGGGAGGGGGAGCAGTGGGCAGCTTGCATTCCATAAATGTTTTCAAAGACAGTTTCTAGGTGATTGAAGTTTCTGCCGCACAAGATTCTAACTGGAGAGTATGATTGATGACTCTTGGCTATGGATGTGTCCCATTGGAGAATATGAATTATGATACACCCAGGGGGTGGGGGGAAACCAGGGTCAAGGGTGACAATGAATGATGTGTCTCAGAGTCGGCTATACCCAGGCAGTGCTGGCATGTTTACTCCTAATTAATCTTCTTTAAGTTTTTGAAGTTCAGCTCAAATCTCATGATTTAAATGTGGGTAACTGCTGGAGCCCTGACACTATAATTAGCAAATATTATATATTTGAAGACTAATGCCTTAGTAAAGGAGAAAACAAAATTCATATGGGACATTCATATATGTGCATTTCTGAAAAAAATTAAGGTAATCTTTAGATAATTATGGTATTCTTGGAGTATGGAAGAAATGAATTATATTCAGCAAAGATACACCTGATCTTGGTATTCAAGTAAGTTGTTGAATTGGAATTCAAGTAAAATAACTTTGTTTCTTACATTAAGACTTGAACTGAACTATATGAACAAAGTTATTTAAGAAATTCAAGGAAACCAAAAGGAAGTTTGCTTTAGATTCAAAATGGGAATTCATATGTTTAACCCATGGTTTCTAATGCATAAGGACAAACAGAAATGCAGGAGGTAACGTTCTGTTATGCTTAGTTGTTAATAGGATGATGAAAAATTGCTTTGGGTAATGCAGTGTTTTCAAAATACATAATATAGAAATTAATAGCAAGATACTGAGTTTGAGTTGAACCATTAAGAGATTCTTTCATTCTCCCCCCCCCCTTTTTTTTTTCTTTATTTCAGAGACTAAGTAAACAGTACTGGAGGCTGTAGCCTGCATTTGTAACATCATTGTAAAGTTGAACTTTTACAAATGTTGTGCATAAAATTGAAGAATAAAATTTTAGAATAATTAAGTATTTTTAGCATCTGTGTAGCAACAATACCTGGAAACTCTGTTATAATTAGTTATAATATAAATAAGCTGAGCTATACTTTTCTGACTAATGTGTACTTCCCAAATTTTGCAAAATGAAACTTCTCAAAACTTGTTTCATAATGCATTCAAATTGTATTGAATGATGTGCTTAGTTATACATTTCAAAATAAATATTGAAATAACAATGTGTGTATCTTTTACAAGATGTATATTCTGGATGGAATGGAATAGTGAATGATTATGTATAAAAGCAACATAAATCAGAAATAGCTTCTTTCTGCCTGAGCATTTTATTTTATACATTTTTCTTGGTGAAAAGTATGATACCAGTAAACTGGGGTTGAACTCTTTGCTTTGGCAACTGCAGTGGAAAGATATTTCTGTTTTGATCTTTGTTTTTATAGCCATCTAGAAATAATTATATGACAGATTGTCATATAAGTCCAATAAATAAATAAGTGCCTGAGAAACAACTTAAAATATTTTTAAGTTTCTGCCTTACAATCTGTTTATCTCCCAAATATTAAGGCATGTCAATACATATTTTGGTAACATTAACTTTTGATGCAGCCTTCTTGGTAGAAAGGAAGAAAACTAGATAGATGAGGTATATGTGATTACTGAACTTGAAAAGAAGCTTCTGGAGAAGTTGCCAAGTTTTTGTGATGCATTAGTATTGTGAATTACTAGCCAGGAATTTATATTTGCATGCATGTCTGATAAAAAATAATTTTGCCATTGTAAATGCATAAAAAGAGTCAGTTTGGTATAGTGGTTAAACTATCAAGATAGAAATCAGGACACTAAATTCTAGTCCTACCTTAGGCACAAATTCAGATGGGTGATCTTAGACCAACCACTTTTTCTCAGCCCTAGGAAGGGGGCAATGGAAAATCACTTCTGAAATATCATTCAAAGAAAACTGCAGGGATTTCAAGCAGTCTCTGAGTCAGACACAATTCAACGAAAGAAACAAATAATATACTAATTAAGTATTTCAAATTAAAACAATTGATATGTGCAGCCTAAATATTAATGTCAGCAGAATTATTTTTAGTGGATTACCATCAGCATAATTCTCAGCTTTATATATTTTGTCCAATCCTAAACATTTTTAATGAGGCAAAAATAAAATTAAAAAATCAGAGATTTGGTTTCATTAAGTTAGTATATAATGTAGAATATGTAATACCATCAAAGTGCTATATATTCAGAATTAATAAAGATAGATCTCTGCTTTAAGAATTTCACAATTGAATGTGAATTTTTTTCTGGAATAAGTGACAAAGAAAAGAAAAATAATAAAATTGAGATAGGACTAAAGTAAAGAAATATCTATGTATTTTAAGTATTTACTTTAAATATCTATTTTGAGTCTGTTGGGACTTAAGAATAAGCAGATTACATTGTTAGTTTTTATTGGGCCTAAAAAGTCCAGTTTGTAGATTGTATGATTAAAATGGTAAATTGACTGCTTATATTGGCATAGTCTCACTAAAGTCAGTAGGCTTGTGCCAATGTAAGCTGCCATAGAATGGCTGCATTAAATTAATAGTTTTGATTAACTAGTTTGTCAGAAATTAAAAGCGAACTTTTACTCTATGGACTGCACACTTGACTGGTCTCCTTCTCCATCAGTCTCAAAGAACAAGAGGTAAAATAGGGTGGCCTAGACATGATTCATCAGTTATTCTACAATGCAGCCAAAGGATACAGGATGTGGCTCATGAACAGCATGAAATAATCCTGCTTCATGTATATAACCCATGGTATCAAAAATACACCACAGGGACTTATTCTGTACGTAATTGTATTTACCCATATTTGAATGAATCTTGTAGAGGGGGTTGATTTGTTCCAGAATGTTTTGCCAGATTTTAAATGTGGAAATACTATTTCTTATAACATTATTTTGGATTTCTTAATGTTCTGTCAGTTGGAATTGAATTATATGGTTAAAATATTCAGTTAATCTTTACATTTAAAATGTAGAATTTCTTCTTCATGAACATTCAATGAATTTCTAGTTTTTTTTAGTAGCTATCTATAAGTTAATCAAAAATAAAATTATGCTAGAAACTATTTGGGGCATGAATTATTGTAATCAATTTTATTGGTTCTTGAATTGTTTATGTGTTTATTGTTGGCTGATTTATTTGTTTTATGTAGGAGTTTTGACTTTTTATTGTCATTTTTATTATTATTATATCATGGAAATTCTATTGTACTGTTTATTGATATATTAAAATCAAGTCACTAAAAGTCATTAATTATGGCAGACATAAAGGCACTAATTAAAGTTGCTAATTGTGGCAGATATAAATTGAATAAAAATAGCTTCATTGTATGTCTAAAAGTAAATATTTAATTATATATTTGTATTCTTATTCTAACAAGCATTTTCTAAAAGTTTCTTTTGATATTTAATTTTTTAATACAAATTACAAATGAAAATAAAGACAATAGGGAACGTGGCAAATGGAAAAGAAGGAAAAAAGATGTGGAAGAAATAAAAACGGACTTTTAACTTTTTTCATTGCAGTAAATTACATAGTAAAATTATGATCTTAACTTTTTACTTATATGTAATTAATGTGTATTAGCCATTTCTATAACAACATCCTATTCTAATCATCAAAACCCAAAGCCAAATTTTCATGTTTTTAAATTTTGAGCAGGAAATCCAGAAATGGTTCCCAAATGGAAACAAAGGTAGATAAATTCTTTTCCTTGATTAAATCAATTAATTTTTGCAATCTCTGCCAGGTCCATTACTTTTTCTATCCATTAAATCTATATATTTTATCTATCCACTATAGGAGTTGACCATATCTTTTTGTTTTTCCACATATAAAATTCTCGCTGCAGTTACCATATATAATAACTAAGTTCCAACTCCAGCTTGCATTATTGTCTGGTACAGAATTTTGATCATAAGTGCATTTGTTGGTCAGGTAATTATTTTTTTGCTAATGTTTATTATTGCTTATAACTATTAAAAAAAACTGTTGTATTTGCAAATGATTGCTTCCTGAGGTAATGATTAAATGAGGCAGGCTGTAGTTTAAATTTCAAAAATAATGTGTGATTTTAATCAAATGTTTTCTCAGATCATATCCAGTACTTTTCCAGCCTTAGATCACTGAATGGAAATTATCAAGATGTAATGTTAAGTTGTTTAGAAACTTTCTTTAGTACTGCGATTCTTTGGGAAAATATTTTTTTTATAATTAATCAGCCTTTGTATTATTTGGGTAAGTCTTTTTTAATTCCATACAGTCCTTCTTACTTTTGAGACCATTAAACAATTCAGCTTTAAAGAACCAAAATCAAAGCAATATTCCATTATGGCTCTACTATGCTATTTTTTTTTCTTAGATTTGTTTCAGATATATAATTGCTTTCCTGTTGAAAATTCTAAAATCTAGTAACAGCTTTTTATTTTTTTAAAAAAGAGATGTTTTAAAAGGAAGCTTTGTGTTTAACCAAATATAGTTTTTTAATACTATTTATTATCTTAATGATATGTGATTACAAACATTCAACAAATACTATTTTTCTGTAAGTTGTAGCATACAACAAGATGTGCATATTATACATTTGACTTAAATGTTATGAAAGGTAGAATTCTCCTATTCTCACTGTTTCTGTGTTTTTGAAATATAAACAGAGCACATTATTTTTACACGAAAGCATATAGATCAAGGTTAAATATGTTTTTAAAAACTTTTCACAATATAATGTGTTATGATTAATTTAAAAGAACAGGCCTATTCCAACACATACATATTCCCAGCCTTGAAAATGTAGGTGAAAAGTCCACTATTTGCTGAGTTTCATATCTGCCTAATTAATTGTGAATATAGTACATTTAAATGCCATAGGGGATTATTTCTTACACAAAGCACAGTTTTCGTAAAGATATCATGGTCAAACATTGCATTTAGAGCAGTGGTCCCCAACCTTTTTTGTACCAGGGACCAGTTTCACGATTATTAATTCTTTGCGGCCCGGTACAAAATGATCCATGGACCGGTACCGGCATCAGCACGCACGACCAAGGCAAGGCGAGCCGAGCGACCGGCCAGCCAGCCGTCCCCGGCTTCTCCCCGCCACCTTCAACTCCTCCTTTGTACCTTCTCGTGGTCGATGGGCTTTTCGGGCTCTTAATCTCCTCCTGAGTAACACGAGACTCCACCGCCATCGGGACAGCTCTTCGTTCAAAGCCGCCCCTCCTTCAACGAAACTAAGGTGCAAGGATTCCTTCAGCACCCAAACGCCGCTTTCCAACTGACGACCGACAAGCTCACCCGGAAGCACTTTCTCAAGTGCCGTCGAAACAAGATGGCGGCACCCAAGTACCGGCGGCCCGGTACAAAATGATCCACGGACCAGTACCGGTCCAGGGCCTGGTGGTTGGGGACCCCTGATTTAGAGGGTCTCTGATACTATCTCAGTTTGGTTGTTTTCTTGCAGTCATTTCAACACCCAAACTAGTTAACATTTTCAGTAATAATAAGGAGTGGGGTTTGCTCTCAGTTTATTTTCTAGTAATTTGCTCTGTCAGTGTTGGTGAGGGTAAACTTAGAGCTTTGATTAGGCTGTTTACTGTTAATTTGTTTGGCAGTTCCCTGATTATTGGTCTGATGTTAATTTTGGAATTAATCTATTCTCATCTGAGTGCTGATTTCCAATAGGGAGGTATTTTGATCTTTTTGTTCCTTTTTGATTTCTTAATAGACTATTCTGCATCACATGTAGATACTGCTTATACTGTATCTATGTGTCTATTGATGACTAATTTGTCCAAGTTCCAGACTTCTAGAAATTCCCTAGCTTTTTAAAATTAGTGTGATTTTAGTGGGATCAATACAACAAGCCTTGGAGAAAAATGAATTCACAATCAAAGAGGTGGAGAAAAGAACAGAACAAACAGAAAGGAAGCTGGAGATGGTGGACCAACACTTAAAGAATGTTAGCAAAGAAATGGAAGAGTCACTGGTCTATTTAGAGATGGATAAGGCTTCATCATATTGGAGATTCTAGAACATAGTGGAATCTAAAGAGGTAGATTTGGAATAGTTGATGGCCGAAATACTAGCTGAAACATTAGAGAAGGACAAAGATGATATTTTGAAAGAGATGTTTATAAAGTCAGCACGACTTATGCGAGATGTCATAAGCACCCAAAAGAAGTTCATGTAAGGTTTGCGAGAAGGAAGGTCTGCGACATTATCTATAAAATAACCAGAGAAGAAGCCATTATATACAAAGGTAAAGAGGTCCAAGTTCTCAAGCAAATTCCAAGAAGGGTGAGAGAACAAAGACATGATTATAAATTCTTGGTGGTGCAACTGAACCAAAAAGATATTTTATTTAAATGGTTAGTCCCGGAAGGGGTGTTAATTATGTGAAAGAAGAAGAAAATTAAAATAGATAACCTGGAAAAAGCTCAAGAATTCTATGAACAATTAGTGGGACCAGAAGATCATAGTAGCAAAGACGAACTAGAATCTGACTCCCAAGAAGACTGAGGTCAACAAAGAAATAGAGACAGGAATCAAGGAAACAGAAAAATAACCCAACAACAACAAGAAGGAGAAGAGAGTAGGACAGTCTATCAGACACAAAGAGAAACTAGAGCAACTACAAGACAAAGAGCGGGACTTCATTAAGAAAAATGGAAGAGGAGGTGAAAATATTATCTATTAATATAAATGGCCTAAATTCAGCAATGAAAAGGAAAAGAATATTAGCGAAATTAATTAAACAGAACGCAGATATAGTACACTTACAGGAGACCCACATTAGAAAATCAGACAAAAGATACATAGAATGTCCTAAGCTAGGGAAATTGTTTACTGCACCTGCAGATTCAGGGAAAAATATGTATGTTATATGTTAAAGATAATATGAATGCAGATTTAATTCTGACAGATCCCAATGGAAGAATTCTGGTTTTACAAGTCTGGATCAATCTAAAGCCAACCTTATTAGTTGTAACTTATGCCCCCAACGAAAATCAAAAGGGAGTTTTTAAAAAATCTACATGAAAAAATAGCAAGATTAGAAAAAATAAATATTTGCATTATAGGGGACTTTAATGAGATAGTAGACCATCAAAAAGACCATAGTAGTGGGGTGGTGGGGGGAGGGAAGAAGAAGGGAGAATTACCAAAAACGTTTAGAAATGATGGCCGAACTAAACCTGATAGACATTTGGAGGAAGCTAAACCCAGATAAAAAACAATTTACGTTCTATTCAAATCCACATCAACTGTGGGCATGGGTTGATATGGCTTGGATGAATGGAGAATTAGCAAATGAAATAGAAGAGACAGAAATTCTACCAAACGTGGGCAGACCACAACCCCCTTCAGATAATTTGGAAGGGTAGAAAAAAGACAAGGAAAAGGTGGACCTTAAATACCCAATTAGTAAAAGACAAAGAATTTATTAAAAGACTTAAAGAAGAACTAAACTACTTTCTGACTGAAAATAATAATAATGATACTACTATACAGAACTTATGGGATACTATGAAAGCAGTTATAAGGGGGATTACAATATTACATACCGCAAAAAGAAATAAAGAAAAATATGCTCAACAAAATAAATTACAACAAAGAATTAAGGAATTAGAAACCCAACTACAAAATACATCAAAAGATGTTAGTTTGCAAAATCAGATGATAGTAACTAAGCACAAACTTAACCTAATAGAACAAGCGGAAATGATTAAAAATCTGAATATAACTAGACAGACAAACTTTGAACAGGCCAACAAACCAGGGAGATGGCTTTCTTACAGACTTAAAAAGGAAAAGGAGAAGAGATTAATCTATCAACTATTAGATGAAAATGGGGACAGCCATTATGGGATAGAACAGAAAAAAGAAATTGTATATAAATATTTTGAGGATCAATAGAAAAAGGAGGAGATGGATGAGGATTTGATAAGGGATTATCTCGGAGAAGTAAAAGATAGGGTAATTGAGGAGGAAAGGAAAGAGTCTTTAACTCGGTACATTTTCTCATATGTGGTG